CCAAAGTGCTGTGAATCACCGGCTGACACGCTGCATTGGCAGGGCTCTTGTGTTTTACACAGAAAACGTCTCACGTCTCTTCATCCATTTAGTTTGTGAAGCAGCTTCCATTATAGCAGCGGTGGACTTTTTTACATAGGTAAAAAGCTTTGGAAGTAGTTTGCATAACTACACCATGTGGGGCGGTTGCTGGCTGATATGATTTATCTGTAACACTCCGCTGGTATGGCATTTGCCAAGGGACTGAAAGAAGAATTTAATTGTTCTCTCATGGAAATGTTGTTTAGCACTAAGTGGAGTGATTCATGCGTCTCCAAAAAAAATCAGCCTGTTTAAGTGACAGGCAAGTCCTTGTTGGCTTTTTTTTTCTCTAAAAAAACTCTGCTCAATGATTCATGTGCATCAATCTGTCCAGTATTACTGCCTACTGTATTACATACACCTAGCCCAAAGCCTGGCATTTCATCTGTGTCTTTAATCCTATAAATGGTCTGTTTTACCTTTACAATAGAGCTGGTCAGAATTAATGGGAAGATGGACGGGGCTAAACAAAGGATATTCCAGTAGAAAAACAAAGAGACAGTTAAAGGCTCTATTAGGACCATGCAGCTGGAACTGGACTGGTTCTGATCAGAGCCCCGTCCTTCATGTGGTAGAATGATCTATTCAAAGTCCAGATACAAATGCAATTGAGAATATGAAATTAGGCATGAAAATGCAGGATCACGGATGTTATCCTTCAAAAGTTTGTGGTTTTTAAACAAAGTAAAGTAAGCAAAAAAACATTCTATGGCAGATTGACTGTATAAACTCAGAATTTTAATGTATTTTAAAAAAGCTAAAATAAAGGGAATGGCTCCTTGTCTGTCGCTACAAAAACATTTTAATGTAATCATGCATACACCAAACTTTAAAGTTTTTTTTACAAACTAATTTTAGGGATTAGTCCTGTCTCTCTCCAAGACATAGCCATAGGCTCAGCTTTTATTGTGTCTAAGGCTACGTTTACACTGCTGGCCTTGAAGCTCAATTCCGATTTTTTTGTGAAATCCACATTTTTTTGCGTTGCTGTTCACATTTCCAAATACCTGCGACTTGTATGTGATCTCCTGTGTGAATTGCTGTCATACAACCTAAGCGTCCCGCATGCGCAGTAGAGGGCGCAATGACGTCACAGGCCAGATTGCTTTGTGTTTACGGAAGTAAACATGGATGGTAGCGATGGAGTTGTTCAGACAGCTATGAAAAGATCAGACCCAGGTAGCATGTGGGCAAAAAAATTGGATTTGGGTCAATTCAGGCTGCGCTGCGAATGTAGCCTAAATGTGCTTTCTTTCATCCCTTTGGAAATGTCTGCCTTGGTCTGCCTTGGAGCATGTCTGCGGTTTCTTTCTTAGACAGAGCCCCCTATGGAGCTAGTTTACTGTTACTTTCTCAAATACAAAGTATGGACTAATGCTTTTGTTAACCTTTACTATGTCTGCCTCTGTCTCCTTGAACTTCAGTCGGCCTCAGCAGATAGCCGCTCACACTGAGCCTAGTTCTGGTTTCTTCTTGTTAAAAGGGAGTTCTTCCTCTCCACTGGCACTAACTGTGCATGCTCGGTGTGAGGGATTGCAGAGAGTCAATGAAAAATTGCAAGCGAATGTCTACTGCACATCCAGGAGCAATGAGCCTGCAAGTCATTGACTTGATGCAGTCAGCTGGTCTCCCTAGAAACTTTGAACCAATCTGACTGTATGATCTGATAGAATTGTCTCTGTAAAGAGCCTTGAGGTGACATATGTTGTGAATTAGTGCTACAGTGTATAGGTAGACCTAATTGAAATTAAACTCTGCTGTTTGAAAGATAAGAATAAATAATACAGATGTAAAAATTAACTGGAAAATGACACTCAGGCAGAAGACACACTTCTCTAAATCTATTTTTCCTACATAAAACCATAAAACCTTGTAAATATTGCAGCATGTCATATACTGTATGTACTAAGAGAGATCTAAGGTTCAGACAACAAGCTTGTGTACACAAAAGAATACGATTTTATCCAAACTTTAAATGAGCTGATCAAGTAAATGTAACTAGATACATCTGAGGGGAAATGTCTCATTAAAACATTAGAATTTAACTGTTTAGGGTCTCTGAGGTTTGGTGTTTTTCTGGTGTGAGTGAGCTTTCTGTAACAGAGAGGATCTTTGCTCCGTGGGGCCTGGCCGGGGGGTGGGGGGCCCCTGGAGCCTCGGGTCCATGGCCGGATCCACTTCGGGGTGGCTGGCTGCCTGCGGAGCCCACAGACTGGTCTCCGCGGCTCCCGGGGGCTCCGCCATTGCGGTGGCTGGGGGATTTCCTGGGGTCATCTCTCCTCCTCCCTTGATGGGGGGTCGGATTTCCTGGGTTGGCCCCTCCTGGGCGCCTTTGCTCTTGGGGTCCCTCTTGGACGTCTGGGGCTTTGGGTCCCTCAGTGCTCGCCTCAGTGCTCTGGAGGGGCACGTCTTCTGCTCTTCACAACAACAATTGAGCATTTTTCTTTTGGATAAACTTTACATGCATAAGTGCACTCTCACAAACAACTACAGGTGCTTGGCTCCAGGTACTTAAGAGATTCACGTCCATACAGAAAGCCCATATTCTGATCTTCAGCTACCACAGTATACATGTCAGATTAAATAATACTACTTATACTTCAGCGATAGTATCAAGGTGTTACTTTATTTTATCTCTTATACTATATCCATTGGTTGTGCTGTTTTTACATCTCTTTGCAGGTGATGAAGCAGACTAAAGATGTTTTATCGTTATCTCCATTTTTATCTCCTCTTTTTTTCCATCTTTTCTCCTTTTTTTCTGTTTTTCCTTTCCTGTTCTACTTGCATTGCAGTGTCCATAAAATCTGTAATAATCCCTGCATGAATTATAATAAAGATATTTACATGCATAAATCAAGTGGAACACTATGGCGATTGCTGTCCTGCTCCACTTGTGAAAGCAAAATCTGGTGGGCTCTCTATTTGGCATCAAGACAATTATTCTTATTGCCACATTGCCAAACAGGACACTTAAAAAAAAAGAGAGAGAGAGAGAGGATTTTTGCTGGTGGCTGGGCCGATCTGTGTTGCTGCACGCCTGAGATATTTCTCAATCAAGATGACCAGCATATATACACAGAGGCAATGGATCATCTCTGCCCGCTCAGCCACTCAGCCTACCCACGCCCACGCCCTCTCTTTCATTTGCCAGAGCCAATGACCTAAAACAAGAATATCCATCTTGTTAAAATTTGCCTTCTTTTGAATCTCTTTTAATGTGGACTCTGTTATTGTTTCGGACAACCAGTGAACCTCAGTTCATCTCTGATCTTCATGTAAAAGGTCTTACCTGCATGCAGCAGTTCTCAGTCTTCATCCCCTGCCTGCCTACTCTCCAGAATGATGTCTCTTACAAGAACAAAGGCTCTCAGATTTCCCTTACATTCTCCTGAACCTCTGGGATAAAGTCTGTAAAGTCCACTGAATCAAATACCTACAGATCCATGTTACCTCCCTTTCATCTCTCAAGTAAGCAAATCAGTCATCAGTTTTCATCAACAAACTCCTGCCTCATCAGTTTTCCTTCTTCCTCAGACCAACCAGAAATAAAATTGACTTCCTGCAGATCTCCTCTTCCAGATTCTTGTTGGTTTGTAAACAAAACTTTAAAATTCAGTAGTTCTCATTGTGATTCTGCATGTGGGTCAAAAAACAAAACAAAAACAGTAGCTTTGGTGAAAGGCGGTTTTACAAAGTACTGAAACATGTCATTGTCACAAGGAAGAAGTCTTGAGGTTAGGATTGTTTGAGAAAACGTGCCTCCTGCATATTTAATACTGAACAAAATATGACAGCATTAAATGGGAGACAAATGATAAACTCTAGTTTTTGAAACTACATACATAGCCTTTTCTTTGGCCTTTCTTCATTGGAGTGGACCGAGTACAAGCCTAATTGAAGCGTTCAAACGGTCCAAACACTGTATGGTCACTGAGTTTTAGTTACAGTGGCTAAGCCACTTGGCAATGTGAGATCGTTTTCACCCACTGACAACTGTGATTGTCTGGACTTCGATCTGCCAAGAAGCACTCCACACAGATGGCGAGAAAGAGAATGAGGGGCCTGATTCCACGTCTCTAAAAGGCCTTGGCACTATTATGGGTCTAAATATTTCCTAAGTGGGTTGATTTGTGCTTGTTGACATGTTTGTGTGCCTATATGCGTACAATTCAGCATGTGAATGCAAGTTTAGAGTGTGATCCTGTCAGCAACTCATGCTGCCTGCGGAAGCTAGGCGGGCATTGTGAGGTCTCCGCAGGGAGCTCTGCTCTCCCCTTGTGTTTGCCAGGAGCAGCTTTCCACCCACGGTGGGCAGGCAGGCAGGCTGGCTCAGTCGGCTGCTAGGTTGGCATTCACTAGATGACTTGGGTAGACAGGAGGGAAGGCACACAGCCATTCATAGCCACATAATGCACACGGAGAGCAGGAGAGCTGTGGCGGCTAAAAGAAATTCTTCCCTGAATGCTTTTTTCTCTTAAAATGTGCTGCTAGAAGGGAGCGTCAGCTGATATTTAGAAGTTACAATTTCTTAAGAAGGAAAAACATCTGGCAAATTTAAACGTGGCTTAATTTATTCCACTTTTGTTTTTGCATGAAATCATGGAAGTGTCTCAACTGAAACTTGTGCGCTTATCTAGAGCGTCATACACCAAGCAGACAGTAGGGGGCGCAGCTGGTTTGAAATGCACGCCAGTTGCATATACTATATTTATTTTTTTAATCATGAAAAACTTTTTTCTTTTATAAATATTGCTCATGAATCGATGCAACCGTGTCAGATTATATTAACATTTATTAATTTATTATGTTGAAAAATAAAATTTAAAAAACGTGCATTAAGTGGATTTATTGAGGATCTGCTTTAAAATAAATATGTAATATGAGTGGAAAATTATTAGATATTCTTTGTTTTAATATGTTTATTCGAGGTTGTTGGGACGCACACGCCTCCCACCTGCTCCTCAGCTTTCTCTCTCTGCCTCTATTCTCTACCTCTCTCTCTCTTTAAACACTTTTCTCTCAGCTTCCCAAGATGGCGGCAGCCTCGTCCATCCAGCCGCCGATCGTTCACTCTTCTCTCACCCGGGACAGCGCACTCTCCCCGGACATGGACAGCCCCGAAAGCAGGCAGCCGGAGGATGAGGAGGCGACGGCGGCCGCAGCGCAGCCCTCCGAGTCCTGCGTCTGCCTCCGCGACCTGCCGGACCTAGAGCCGGAGGAGATCGAGAGGAGGCTGGCCAAAACTCGCAGGGAGCTGAGCAACAGGAGGAAAATCCTCATCAAAAACCTGCCGCCCGACACCTCCAACCAGGTATGGAAGAAAAGTGGTGCAAAAAGTAACAACGTGCAGTTTTGCTTTGAGTTTCTGCAGAGCGGAGAGAAACTGAGCAGGACTCCAGTTTGCATCAACTGGCGTTTTGATTCTTTAAACAATTTATTTGAAAGTTATTAATAAACCGTATGATGATGGCATACAAAATGTTTTCCCTCTAAGATAAAGACTTTTAAATAAACCTCAAGAAGGTTTAATAAATAATTCAATACACCACAGATTTTATTTAAAACTCACAAAATTTTACTTCTGTTTTTTTTTATCCCAGCAAAACAACTTTCATGCATCTTTGTGTGCATATTCTTTCATTAAAATAAATGTCATTTATTTTTAAACTTTAGAGTTAAACTAAGTTTTAAAAAAAAGCAGTTGAAACAACAAGTGAACTGGAAAAAATGAGGTCATTTTAGATATGATTATGCCTTCATTAAAGACAAATTGCTGAGATTACTCAGAGTATGAAGACATGGAAGACATTAAAAGATTAATCATCCATCGCAGCGTCCGACCGAGGCGGGTTCACAGAGCCAAGAAGGAAAAACCCTGTCATCCCTCTCCACAGCTACTCTCTGAATGCAAACATATTTACCTTAGTAAAACAATTCATTTAGATAAACAAAAAATAAATGTATTTAACATATTTCATGGCATTATTGATACCAACTAAAAGTTGAGGAGTGACAGAAAAATCTTATGTTATGTCATTGTAATAGCCTACAAAATGATGGCGAAGATTGCTGATTTGACTGTTGTGCAGTAAACAGTCATTGAAACCCTCCACAAGGGAGGGTAAGCCATAAACACTCTGCTGTTGAGATTGACTGTCCTTAGAGTGCTACATCCAACAATATATTCATGAAAAATTGAGTGGAAGGAAAAGAGAAAAAGGTAACTGCAGCCATCATCATCTTTCAACATCCAAAACATTTCATCTTGTATGGTGATCGAGTCTGGAGGATGTAATGTCCAATGTAAAGTGTTTAGTATCTGTTTGGGGAGCCAGGTTGAGTCATGCTAAGGTGCACTTCATAATTTATTTTGCTTAAAAAAGTGTCACAGAAATAGTGTCATCTCCCAGCTGAACATCTGTAAAGTCAAATTTAGGATCCTATCTCTACAGCTAAACTCTATAGAGCAATATGGTGGTGAAGATTCTCCTTTGGAAGGACCTACAAAGCAAGTTCAGCTCAGAGGCTGGGGAGAATGGTGGTCTAGTGGTTTAGGCATAGTGCTTTGAATCCTGAGGTTCTGAGTTCGAGCCCTGCTCCCACAGACTGCCACCCTGGGTCCCTGAGCAAAGACCCCTTAACCCCACACTGCTCCCTGGGCGCCGCACAATGGGAGCCCATTGCTCCCCAAGGGGATGGGTTAAATGCAGAGGGTTAATTTCGTTGCTCTATGCTTGTGAAAGTATGACAATAAAAGCCGTAGAAAAAAAAAGTAAAAAAAATTCTCACTTTTACTCTATATATATATATTCACCATAATTGAGAGTGAAACAGACTGAACGAATACTCTAGAACGGAGGTCTTCAACATGGGGTCCGCGACCCTTAGGGGGTCCACTGAGGTATTGCATGGGGCTCGCAAAAGTTTTGGTTAAATAGACTTTTTTTTCCGTTATATTTCCCCCTGCAATTTTTTCCACTAATTGAAATGTATTTAAATACACATTAACATGAATTCAACACACTGTAGTAAACAGATACCGGTAAATGGAGGCAGAAGATGTCTTTCAATCATCAACGCACACATTCAGCGACACACAGGCGCTTTTTTAAACTGGATACCGTTTCATTCACAACACCTGTCCCATCAATGAGGAATCAGAATCAGAAATACTTTAATAATCCCAGGGCCAACTTACTTTTGTTAAATTACTCCATCTGTAATAGAGTGACTATTGGACCAGTTTGATATAACACAATTTCATAGAATATATATATAATTAGGGCGTCCCCGCTCCATCTTGCCATCAGTTAGGGGGGTCCTTGCCCTGGAAAACGTTGAAGACCTCTGCTCTAGAACATCTCATTTTGACTGTCTTGATATTAACTACTTACTGGGGTCAATGTGTCCTTCGCTTTTAAACATTTAAAATCAATAGCATAAAAATCTTAAAAAGTAGATTTAATGAGATGCAGGAGAAAGCTTCAGTGACCCAATCTGACATTTTGGGTTTACTCAATCATGTCAACTGGTTCCACTAAAATTAGTTGATTATATGTATTATATAATTGACTTATGGTATAATAAAAAATACAAATCAATTAGGATCACTCAATCCAGACTGAGGTTTATGTAATTCAATGATGTGAGGTCAAGTTTAACAGATGCTAATAGGGGTTAATTATGCCAGTTAACTTCAGTTTGATTAATGCTGTTGACTTGCACTGTCATTATTCGATTTCAGCAATGGGATTTAATATACTTACATTTTACTTCTACTACCTTGTTTGGTGAAACCAGCTAATATAAACATTTAATATAATTCAGCAGTTATATAGTTTATATTACATAACTCTAACATTTAATTAATTAGTCTTAATGGAGTCAAATTTCAGAATGTTAAACTGGGTTGAGATTAATTATTACTGTCCAGATGACCACCAGAATATACCAAAATATAATATGCAAGAGGAGGGAACTCCATGAACAAAATTCCCTTTCATTCATGGTGCCACAGAGGACACAAAAACATGCCTCAAAGCATCCTGGGAAATAACAGGAAGTCAACTCCCATTACTTGCCACAGAACAAATATCAAGTTGACTAAATCCCTGTTTGTTGAAAGTAACAGGATGACATTAAATTAGTTTGGTTATCTTTAGTTGAGTTAAAGTCTCTTGTTTAAAGGAGAAGTCCGGTCATATTCAGAATTCAAACTTCTGTAAATTCTTTAAATATGAAATTATTACATTCTGATCAATAAATGATAAGTGTTTTCAATTAAGAGTAATTTCATTTGACTGTGATTTATTGGAGAAATCAATGTTTATCAAAGAACTGCTACCTACCGGTTTTTGACGTCACGGTGCGGTATCGGCTGTTGAGCAAGTCCCAGTGCGGTATCTGGTGTTTGTAACAAAGCGCTATTATCCAATCATCTTGAAAAAATTCTGCTTGTGAATTTCAATGGGGAGGTCTTCTGGAAATCTTCAATAATTGTTGTTGATTGCAGATGTGTCTAGTAGCTCCCAGTGATTTTGCTTGTAAAGCGGGGAGAATGGTGCTAGGTTTACCGCACCATGACATCACTGTCAGAAGATGTCAGGAGTAAGGTGTTGCTAAATATGGGGAAAAATGGCTGGTGATCACGGCAAAAATTATTGTTTTTATTATATTACTGATTAACACTTAATTCATTAAATCACCGCAAACATATTAGTTTTAGGTATAGATAATGATCAATTAATCATTCCTTGCTGACCAGACTTTTACTTTAAATACAGCAAAATCTACCAGTTTAGCATGAAAAGATATATATTAGTCTTAATATGACCATGAAACAGATACCTAACACAAGGAATGTCCCAATTTCAATCAATCTCTATAACGCCTCCCTCAAGTGATTCAGACACCCCCCCCCCCTCTGTAATTGACATTTATGCACTATTTTTGCACGTCACTATCACTTTACATATATAAATACATATATACAGAAGAGTTATATGTGTTTATATTTTTATCTTTATTATCTTGTGTGGTTGGTTGTGTATATATATATATATATATATATATATATGTATATATATATATATATATATATATATATATATATATATATATATATATATATATATATATATATATATATATATATATATATATATATATTAAACTGTGACTGGAGCGTGTAACAAAAAGTAATTTCCCTCTGGGATTATTAAAGTTTTTCTGATTTTGATTTTGTATTTCTTCTATAGGAGGCCACTATGGACAATTTTAATTAGCATATTCACCTATTCATATTAAATGACAGGATTATGTTAAAATTATTCCCTTTAGTTGTTTCAAAATCTCTTCTTGCTATTCTATTAACAATTAGCCTGCTTATGCTCAGCGTAAAAATGTAATTTTTCTAGTAATCTGACCATTGAATAAACAAGCAGCATGACTATTTTATATATTAGTGAAAGAGGCTCCACCCCCACCTGTTGCTATGCGCTGCATGTTTGCTGTTTGTTAGTTTCCAGATTTTTCTTTTCTTTTTTTAAAAGACTTGTTCATGAACAACAGCAGCCACAAGTGGCGTAAGCTGAAATGTGTTACTGTACAAACTTCCACCTTTGGAATTCAGTTAAAACATCCGGACCGAACTTATCTGACAAACACTACATGAAGAATGGAAACGAGTTGAAATGACAGGTTTAATTAATTTATTTTTCTAAACCATTTTCTCCTTTTAGATGATTTCAGTTGAGGCTAAATCCCATCACTTGACCGTTTGTTTATTTTACACGCACAGACTTCACTGTGTGTGCCTTTTTAAAAGATATAAAGAGTGACTTCACTGTTTATGACTTAATGGCGTTTCTGATTTCCTCGCTGAGCGTCATTCATCACTTGTGTCAGCATGCAGGCCTCCAGGAGGCAGCGTGTTGAGCCTGCGCCGATGGCGTGTGTTCCTTCAGGATTGTAGCGCCACGCATTCTTCAACAGGCCCTCTGCCAAGGAGAGACGGCGCTCTGTTGGAGCGTCTGTGTCCCTGCGTAAGTGAGATGAGAGAGGGAGTGTGAAGGAGCATGACGGCATGGAGTGTGTGAGAAATGACGAGAGGGAAGGAAAGGGGGAAAAGTCACTTAGGTTTAGATGTAGCAGCAGGTGTGGAAATCCTTCTGCTTTGTGTTTCCTACATCGTCCACATGTCAGACTGGGTTTTTGAGAAAAGTAGAGCAGCGTGAAATCAATTTAAAGGAGTGGTTTGGACTTTTTGACATTTGTCCACATGAAATTCAGTCTGTTAAGATAACATAAGCA